TCAAAATTAAGGTGCCATAGCCAAATAAAGAAGTTGTCATTTTGTGAACACCTAAGTTTGTGTCCTGAGGTTCATCCTCATTGTACCAGTGGTCACTAAATACTTACCACCAGGCAGAGAGCAAGGACTATTTCACTTGAGCCTCACAATGACAGCACCTATGAGTTAGGTACTTTGTTATCTTATTTAAAGATGAGAAAAAGAGGCTCAGGGAAGTTGCACAGCATGGTGATTCTCCTGACATCTATTCCCCTGCTTCTGACAAACAGCCTCCAATGCCCCAACCCACTCTCAGTCCAGGTGGTCGGGACGGGGCCCCGCGCACAGCTCCAGGCCTAAGACAATCACATCAGTGCTCTCCTGAGAGATTCCTCCCAGAGAAGTTCCAATAGAGTGACTCATGGGGTTTTACGGGATCTGCTACCTAAGAGTTTCTGGCTTCTCCTCTGGTCTTGAACTCTAGCGAATGGGAGGCTGAGACTGAACGCAGGTAGCATGCAGACCCAAAGGTGAAAAGAAAGCATCTGTTTGAGCGCTGAATCCAGCTGTGCCCAAGCGACCCCTATCTTGGAATTATTAGTCATGTTGGCTGTATTAGTTTGCTAAGGCTGCCACAACGAACTGCCATAAACTAGTGTCTTCAAACAACAGAAGCTAATTCTCTGACATTCGTGGGAATTGGATGTCCAAAATTAAGGTGTCAGCAGGGCCATGCTCCCTAAGGCTCCAGGGGTGGATCTTTCCTTGTCTCTTGCTGGTTTCTGATAGTGGCCAGTGATGTTGGCATATTCCTTGCCTTTGAGCTACATAACTCTAATCTTTGCTTCTGTTATCACACGGGCTTCTTTCCTCTGTGACTTCATTTTTTCTTCTTTTTGTGCCTCTCTGTGTCCAAATTTCCCTCTTCTTCTTATAAGAATGATGGACATCGGATTAGGAGCCTACTCTGATGACCTCACCTTTGTATAGAATGCAAAGGTTCTATTTCCAAATAAGGTGGCATTCATAGACACAGAGGGGTTAGGACATGGGCATATCTTTGTGGGGACACGGCTCATCCCACAACATCAGTCAATAAATTTTCCCCTGAACCACTTTGGGTTGAGTTTTTGATCATTTGCATTAAAAAGAGGTAGAACCACAACTCACCCCCATATCTCGGTCAACCATCAAGAGTGGCCGGGCTTGGGGCAGAGGCCCAGGGTTAACTGTCTTCTATCTGACTCACAGCCAGTGTATACAACACACTCAAGGAATACAAGAGTGATTGCTATCTAATTAATTAATCAATGATTGCATTAGGCATGGTTTATCATTGGGCAGTAGGCTGAACGATGACCAGGATTTTTATCTAGGAAATAAAAAGTTATTGATTGTTCGCATGGCTGTATTTCAAGGTTTTCCCCTGATTTTGAAACATCACCTCAGGTGCTGATAAGAAGAACATTCCCCCCTCCCCAGACATTTAATTTTCAAAATAGAATACCAGCCATGCCTCTTTCGCAGGCCTGGCTGTGTTTACTCCAGGGCCTGAGAGAAGACTGTAATTTCAGCTTGTTATACTAAAAATATGAAAATAAAACTGATCGCTATAAAATCATTTTAAATGAAAACTGCTTCCTAGAAGCAAGCTGAGGAAGCACACTGACTGAAAGCGAGCCCAGGGCTCTGGGCAGGTAGGACGCTGGAGTGAGGACCCCAAGTGGCAGGTAAAAACCAGGACTTCTGCAGAAGCAGATGTGTGTCAAAAGGTCATTTGGCCCAGGTCAGATGTCTGGTGGCCTCTTCCCCAGTTCCTCTGGCTGGGCGCCAAGATCACTTTGAAACACCACTGACCAGTGAGTACATTTTTCTTTAAACCCTGCCTCGCTGAGAACCAGCCAATCCCTCCTGCCAGGTCCAGTCCACCCCTGGCCAGCTGAACTTGAGTGGGTAGGGGACTCGCCTGGGTGGCTCAGTTTGTGAAAAAGGTAGATTTGGGGCTATATCCCCAGGCACTCCCATGCCTTATGTGTATTAGTTTCCTGAAGCTGCCATAACAAATTACCACAAATGGGGCAGCTTAAAACACAGAAATTTATTCTCTCCCAGCTGGGGAAGCCAGAAGTCCAAACTCAACGTGACAGCAGGATTGGTTCCTTCTGGAAGCTCTGAAGCACAGTGTGTCCCAGGCCTTGTCCAGCTTCTGGCAGCTGCTGGCCACCCCTGGCCTGCCTTGGCTTGTGGTTGCCTAACTCCCCTTCCTGCCTCCATCTTTATATGACCTTCCTCTGTGCATGTCTCCATCTTCTCATAGCCTTTCCCCTTGTATCACAGTATATCAACTCTATCTTATCTTACAAGGACACCACTCAGATCTAGGACCCAACCTAAACCTAGGACGATATCATCTTGAGATTCTAAACTTGACTATATCTGCAGACTCTATTTCCAAAAGAGTTAACATTCATGAGGGTAGGGGGGAGGGATGTTAGGTAGATGTATCTATTGGAGGGCGGGGAGGGAGATTTCAATCCATGGCAGTAGATTCGTGATGAGACTCAAAATCTTACCTTTTTCCCCCAAAATGCAAAGTGACTCTTTGTACTCTTTGCTCATAAAATGACTCTGATGCAGGTGATCTATAGATCATATTCTGAGAAACATTTAATCCAGTTGCTGAGGATTCAAGAATGAGTAAGACATGGTCCCCTCCCTTGGAGAACCTACTATCTGGTGGAAGATACAGACAGATGAACAGATGATTAAAATACAAAGTGTGCTCCCTGGCTGCTCTGGCTCAGTTGGTTGGAGCATTGATTGATTCCCGTTCAGGGCACATACCTAGGTTACAGTTTCAATCTCTGGTCCGAGCACGTACAGGAGGCAACCAATCAATGTTTCTCTCTTTCCCTTCCTCTCTCTCTAGAAAGCAGTGAAAAAATGTCCTCAGGTGAGGAAAAATAAAATAAAATACAAAGTGTGGCCTAGTGGTCACAATCTCTGAAGTCAGACAGACCAGGGTTCCAGTTCTGCACCTCCAGCTGTGAGGCTCTGAGCAAATTCCTTAGCCTGTCTGAGCCACAGTCTCCTTATCTATAAAATAAGAAATATTTTTCCTCTATACCACTATGAGAATGAGGTCATATAAAATGCTTAACATCAAAGATGGACACAAGAAATAGCTGTTAGCTATTGCGAAGTTGGGAAGCATGTTGCATTCATTTTCACATCCCCTAGCTAGCCCCTTGCTGTGTGCCTGCCACATCTTAAGCCTTTAATGAATGTCTGTGGAAGGTAAGAAGGCATAACTGGAGAAACGCAGCTGGGTTAGGCAAGACAAGTCCTGGATCTCACCTTCATTCTGCAAGCACTTTCTGAGCACCTGCTGTGTGTGGTGCTCAGTGTGTGGACCCCTGGAAGAAAGCCAAAGGAAACACACAGCCTAGCAGGGAGACCACTCAATTACAATACAGTGCACCTCCTTCCTTTGGTTTTCCATCCTTCCCACTCCGTTCTGTTGTACTCTCTTAGTATCGGTAGTGTTTGGAAAGGCCCCTCCCAAACTATGCCATATGCTCCATGAGTCCTTTGATGGCAGAAAGGGTTCTCTCTTCGCCACTGAGTCCCAAGGACCTAGCAATGTACCTGACTCTTAATAGGCATCTGATAAGTATTTGTGGGCATGATGAATATTCTGCTGATATTTCAGAGTCCAACACTATACTGATATGAACCACCTCCAGCCTCCTTGACTGCTGGGTATGGTTTTTGATGGGCCTAGAGAAAAGATGCCCAGAGCATCTGTCTCTTAGCATAAACCTGAACGTTAGGGAAGATGGGGACAGGGGGCAATACAATGTATCCTAATACTACTGTAGAGGTAGGCGCTTTCAACTACTAGACCAAGAGTAAACCAATTAAACTACAGGAGAGGCTATGACACTTCATTCCTCCTCAGAAATGCAATGCTTTGCACACACGTTATCAGGCCGACCTGGAGGCCCAGAAAAATGTCGAGAAGAGAAAGTCAGTACAGGGTTTCCCTTCCTACCCCCCACAAAGGAAGGAAGAGAGCAAACCATTACACTCTGTATGTGTGCACAGGAGTAAAGGAAAAGAAGCCCCACGTGGGCCTTGGGGATGGAGGATAATTCCCAGGTGGGAGAGAAGGGAGAGTTTCTGGTGGACGGTCAGCCTGGCTAGGCGACACAGGTACCTGCTATCACCAATGGTGGTAAGCCAGGACAGACAACTCACCGGTGATAAGGTGACATCAGCAAACCTTTCACCTGGAGAAGCCACGTAGTCCCTCCCAAGCCAAGAACTCTCAGGGTGGACAGAGGAGGAAATAGCATGGGAATCCAAAAAACGGACCCAGGGGTGTTATGACAAAATAGGAGGGCACGGTGTTCTCTGCTTCCACAAATCGCATGACTTTTGCACCTGTGTTTCACTTCGTAGGCCGATAGTACACACGTGTTGATTTAGTTAAATAGTGAATGAATGAAGGCTAAGGAGGAGCGTGAACTCCCCGACCCAAACCTCCGCTGTGCTGCGGGTCCGCCACCTGGCCCAGGAGTTACCCCAGGGCCCGGATTCCACACACCCCCCGCGCCCCCGCCGCCCCGCACCACCTTTCCGCTTCAGCTCTGGGCGTCCAATCGCTTGGCTCCTAAACAGTGGTGACTGGGATGCAGGTGGGGCTTGGCTCCAACGCTTCCCGGATCCCCGGGCTCGCTCTCTCTCCAATCCCGGACCAGGCTCTGCCGCAGGGAAGGCCCCTCCCCAAAGGCTGTCACCAGATGGCGCGGAAGAAAGTGGCACCGGGATAGACCGGGAAGTGCGGGAGGAACAGCGCACCTGGCAGGTCGCGCGGGGCCAGTGTGCCGCGGCCACCGGATGCGCGTCCCCCGCCCGTGCGTCCCTGCCCCGGCTCGGCCACCCGGGGAGCAGGGCCCGGGGCTGGCGGGCGCTCGGCCCGGCCCGGCCCATCCTGCCTGGCCGGCGCCTGGCCTCACCTCGCTCACCAGCCCCTGCCAGTCGCTCTCGGTCGGGTCCCCGTTCATGGCCTCCTCCTGCAAGCGCCGGCGGGCTGCATGGACGCCACCCTCCTCCGCCTCCACCTCCGCCTCCTGCTGCGCCGCCGCCGTCGCAGACACCCGGCCCCGCCAGGGCCTGGAGCCTCCGAGCCGCTGCGCCGCCGCCTCCCGCAGCCGCCCGCGCTGTCGCCTCCACGTCAGCCTCCGGGAGGAAGGGGAGGAGGAGCCGCGGCCCGGGCCCGCAGCCACAGCCCCGCCGGCCTGGCCTCCCCCACCCCCACCCTCCGCGCAGTCCGGGACCCTGAGGACCGCCCCGGCCCGCGCCGGGACTGGTGGGGAAGAGGCGGCCCGGGTCTCAGCCCGGAGGCAGCCCCAGACCCCAGCGTTACCGCCCTGCAGAACGGGTGGCAGGCAGGGCGAGCACCTGTGTGTCCCGCGCAGGAAGCGTATCCCCAGATCCAGCCCTTTCTTGACCACCATAAGGGCTCTCTCTGGCCAGGAGACTGGAAGCACCACCGGGGCAGGGGGCTTTGCTCTGTTCTCTGATGGAAGATACGTAGGGGGCCTGGCACATGGAGGTGCTGGGCAAAAATTTGTTGAACACCTGAATGAATGAACCACATGTTAGACATTGAACATGGTTTTCCCAGCTACTAAGGTTTATGTGTATTTATTTCTTAAATTATCAGCTGTCAAAAATTTAAAAATGTAAAAAAATCAAAATAAAATGATACTGCATTCGAAACAGGTCCAAAAGCTGAGTGTGATACTTCACAGGTGGCAGGAGAGGTGTTAAAGACACATCATCAGCACCTAACTGAGACTTACAAGAGGAAGGACTGAGAGAGAATGGCAGGGGGCCCGTGTGTCTCACAGAAGTGGACGTTATTCAAGGCACTTCTCCTGAGCCACCTAAAACCCGCTTGTGGACCCCCACCAACAGGCGAGCTTCCCGTACCTGCAGAAGCAGTTGCCAGTGGAGGCGAGCAGGGAGGTTGAGGACTTGTGAGCCCATTTTCATGTGTCAGGCATCCCAGCCAATATTTACTTGTTATTCCTAGCCCTTATTGGTCCTGGATCAACCCTGGGAGGTGGGTGTCATCCCCATTTATCAGATGGGCAAACAGAGACTCCACTGGGGCATCTGGCTCCACAAGGCCCTCTTCAGCAGCCTGGAGGTCTGCAAATGAAGTATTGCCCCTGGAAGCTGAAAAGATTGGATTCTATTGTTGGCTTTGCTTTATTGACATGGTAGATTGTTTGCAGAGCGGCATGAATAATTTCCTGCCTGTGTCCCAGCCATCTTTGACCCTTGGCTCAGCCATGTGACTCTGTTTGGCTGATGCAATGTTTGCACATGTGTTACGCAAAGAAGCCTATAAAGCGCTTGTGCAGTCAGGCTTATCCTCGCGTATGTCCTTGGGAGCCTGTGCTCCCCACCATAGAAACAAGCCCAGAAAAGCTCACTGGATGATGAGGGATTCATAGCCAACAATCACTCAACTGCCACATGTGTGAACGAGGCTGCTGACCCCCAGCCACCACAGATGAGACCAGCAGAAGAACTACCCAGCTGAGCTTTGCCCAGTTTGCTGCCCCACAGATCACGTGCTGCATAAACTGTTGTGGCTTTAAGCCACTAATGTTTGGGAGGGTTTGCTATATATCAAAAGATAACTGATGTAAATGGTGGCAGTGGTGATGAAGAGCCTGAACGGCCTGAACTCTGCCTGGCAGCCCTTAAAAAGCTATAGCCCCTGGCGTCATGACCTTTCGGGTCCTCACGTGAAGACAGATTCAAGGATTCTACAACAGACTCTGGCAGGCCGGGGACTGAGAGACTGCTAGTCAGCGCATTTATTCCGAACCTGTTGTGTACGAATCCTATATTCATCCTGGGTTCAATAACATTGCAGACCACGGTCCCTGCCCTGGGACCTGGGGGTTTGCAAACCTTACTACTGAGGTTTTGCTCTAGGGAGTAAAAAGAGAAAAAGAAGGGGCTAGAATGCAGCTATGGCTTCCGGTCTTTCGACCATGCTGGGCCATCTAATCTGTTCTCTTTAATCCAAGGAGGTGGAAGGAAGGTCATCCCTGAGCTGAACGTCTAGGGTTAACTCAGTGCCAAGCTCCTGTTCCTAACAGCCTGATGTCTCATGCTAAGAAGCAGGTACTGTCTGCCAATATATTGCCCTCTGGCAAACCATCTGGTTTCATTCTGACCTGTCGATGAAATAGACTGTAGGAAGGGTGGACATAACTTAGTCCATCTGCCTTCCGCTGCCTCCTGGTCCGTGCCTTGCTCTCGGCTGGAATTCAGGTGGGAAAGCATCCGGCCCCTTCCCATTACGACGTTTAGCTGAGGCTTTCAGTACTGCTGCTCCTTGGGAACATTCACTGACACGTATTTCAGGCAGCAGGACAGGCCATCGGCAAGCTGTTGGGAGCCGAGGAATCTTACATTAGAGGCCATGTACCTTTAAGACAACTCTGTGTGATGCCATTTCTCCTATTTGCTTTCCTTCTCTGAAGTAAGTTAGCCAGTGTTTAAGGTATTTTAGAATAAAATTGGGGAGGAGAGTCAAAGCGTGGTGGGCCTCTTTCCTCCCCGACATGTGGAGAAGCTTCCCACTCAGTTGAAACAGCATCTCTAGTTGCTGGGTTTTCCTCTGAGGTTTCATGCCCCACCTGCCAGCTCAAACCTGCTTCGCTTGGGAGATGTGATGAAATCACAAACCAAGGCAGTGTTGCTGCGAGCAATCTTTTTTTTATCTCTTTCATTTATGGAGCCTGACATTGAGTAATAATAATAATTAAATGCCATTTAGGCTTTTAGGCACCTATACAAGAAGGCCTCTAGATACCTCATCAACAGCAGCCCAGGCTGACAAAAACAAAGCTAATTATATTGTTGGTTAACGTTTTTAAAAAAAAAAATAAAAAAAAAATAATAAAACTGCTGACCAGCTATCCTTACCTCTGATGAAAGCAGTACATTAAATGCTTCACCCGACAGTGTTTGCACAGAACCCGTTTAAAACCAGGGGCCCCTGACTTAAATTTCCTACCTCGAACTGAATGTGAACGCTTGACCTTAGCCTCTATTTTCTTTCTTTTTTCTTTTTTAAAGTTAAATGGAATTTTATTTGCTTGCTGTAGAAAGAAGATGGTAAAATTTCCCATGACCTAGGAAAAATGCTATAAATATTTTAGCTTATTTCCAATATTTTGTTCTGTGCAGTTATGGGGGAGATGTTGATTTTTACTGTGGTGTGATATTCTGCTTTCTCTACCCTTTCGTAAACGTAAAAAAAATAAATGTTAATACTAATTACATATTTTGAAAGCCCACATCAGGGGGTTTTATTTATTTTTTACCTTTATTGCTGTACTTTATATCGCCATGACTATTGTGTAACCACCAATTTGTACTTCTTAATCCCTTCACCTTTTTCACCGAGTCCCGCAAACCCCCTCCCCGCTCGCAACGTTCTCTGTGTCTATGAGTCTTTCTGTTTTGCTTGTTCGTTCATTTTTTGGCCTCTGTTTTCATATCCCCTTAGTGCTCTGAAAAATCTCAAGGGACCCAATTTTTCCATATATATTATAGCCGTGGGGCCAGTTCCATTTATTTATTTATATGCACCTATCGCATGAGAAGAAAGTACTTCGATGATTTTGAGTGATGCTTTTCACTTTCAAAAGTTGGAGAGAGTTTTAGATGTGGAAACTCCAAAATAGCTTGATCTAAGAAATTGAACCAGCAGATACTGATGAAAACAAGGGAAACAAAATAAAACAAAAAAATCTCTGGAGAGGTTGGGAAAGAACAACATGAACTTATTGTTAGAAACTCGGGCCTCTCGTTACAGGTTTTCTACTGACTTGCAGGATGACTCTGGCTGAGTCCCAGCAGCCCCAGACACACAGGGGGGGAAACCCTGAAGCTTTTGATACAACTTCTCCAGACAGCATTTCCAGTTCAAATTCTGGCTGCCCAAGCAAACTTGTCGGAGTTCTCATTGAAAGAAATGAAGCAAATCTCCAGGAGAGATGTTTGACTCGGTTTTTCTTTGAACTGTGCAGCGGGGCAATATTCACGGTCACTCCTTTCCCAAGTCACTTTTCTCTGGATTAAGATACCCAGTCTGATCAGCCTGGAAAGGAAATGATGCGTAATGACCGTGGTTTAGAGTGGTAGATAGGTAGAGATATTTTATAAAACATAGATATTTTAATTAACTCCATGTGAACCAAGGCCCCCAATTCTTGCTCTTGTCAAGGGAAGGCCATTTTGACAGGCCCCGCCAGGAGCCCCCATGGGCTCGTTGTTAAATGCCTTCCTTTGTTCTTGATTTCATCCAGGGGCTGGACTGCCTGTCCCAGTGTGCACCGCAGTCAGGCTTCCTGCAGAGCCCTGAGACCCGAGGTCCCCCGGGGCCACTGGCCTCAGTTCCGTAGAAGGTAAACCTCCTCTCTTCCCCCTACTTGGGGACACTGCAAAGGGCCTCATCCATTTTTCTACAGGGCTGGAAGCCAGACAGGCAGGGGATTCTGGCCAGGTTCCTGCCTCAGAGCATCCTCTGTGTGGTAGCCCCCTGAGCCCTGGGTCCCACAAAGCCTTCCCTGCCTAAGAGCAAACAATCAGCTGCTGGCTGCTCCCCTACCCCGCTGGCTGCCAATCAGCCGGGCAGCAGGGGGCGGAAGTAAGTTCCACTCCCTGCTGAACCACCAGGAGGTGCTCAGATTGACTGAGTGGGGCTGATAATGGCCTGGCAGGCTGGGGACCCGCAATTGTCATTCTGAGGGGGCCCAGGCGTGGGCGTGATTGGCTGGGGCATTGTGGGGCAGGGGGTGGGGCTCAAGGAAGCAGAGGGGCAGCTCCTTCTGCTGGTGGAAGAGTTCCAGGAGGGGGCACAGAGATGTCAGCCGGAAAGGGGGATCTGCGGGAGGAGGTGAGATAGGAAAGGAGGGACAGGGGAGATGCGGAACCCTGGGCTCCTGATGAGAGGCCAAAAAATCAGGAGCCAGGGGAGAGAAGCAGAAAACCTTGGACACAGGGGGTGGGTGGGGAGAAAGACTTGCTGGACTCATGGGAGGGGTGGGGTGAGCCGTGGCCCAAGGAAGAAATTAAACGGAAAA